CGTGCGAGAACATACGTCACAACTCATTTTAGTTAAAGATGTAATTTCGTCATCGAAATGTACTAAATAAACCACTTCAGTTTTCAAAATTCTCGACAGCCTGCGTCTCCCCTTTTCTTCGACTCCTAAGGTTATAAGCGAGATCTACAGTGTCGCCGGTCTCGCGGGTGGTCGGTCAACTGGGATGTAGCCATCTCGTAGTGCTACTGCGAGAGAGCGACGCGACGGAGCGACCGACCGGGGATAATGAGGCGTCCCCTATCGTGGCAGAAAATTATTTTCTTCCATCTAAAATATTATAGAATCCATGATGAGAGCCTGTAATTTTGGGTGCTCATTACGTATCCCGTATCACGTAGCTTGAGAGGGAGATTGAACAATAGACGTGAGGGGCAAAGCTAGCAATTAGAGTTAATATGGCCTTTTCTAATATTTCAGTCATTTAAATCCAAACCACTGGTACAGCACAAATCGTTATTTTTTGTTGTTCACGTTCAGATTTGATGATATATTGGTATACAAATTGCACAATGTTGACAAATACATTTTAAATTTGTTATCTTTCCTCCATATAATTAATATGCACATCCAGATTCGAAGCTTATACGATGTATATAACACTATACAAACATGATTCCTTGATCATTATTCATTGACAAGATCAGCCAAGGAGTGTAGGACTACCATTGGGTTTTTAAGCTTTAAATTACAAGTCAATATGTAAATTATGTAGTCACATTCCCCGATTTACTTTATTTGAGCAATGTTTCGTCGATCTGTCTAGTTTTAATACATGTCTTTTCTCGTGTTCTTCTCCAAAAAGAATTTCTTCAGTCCTCATCTATTTAGATTTGTAACAACATTTTATATATTAATGTTTTCCCGGTTTATTCAGAAACCGTTCAAACAACCAGAACATACAGTAGGCATATGGGTAGCTTAGCCAACTATGTGAAGTGTGACGTCATCGAAAAATCTGTTATGAGAATTTCTCAATTTTTTTTATTCATGTTCCAAACGAGCATAAAAAATAATGTACAAAATGTCGAAAACCAATCGAATATGTTCAGTATTGGCTGAGATATGACCATATGAATAAATAGATTTCTAATTGGGACTCAGTATTATATTGCTCTGGTTCATAACATTACGAACCAGAGCAAATAACATTGAGTTCCAATTAGAAATCTATTTATTCAGATGGTCATATCTCAGCCAATACTGAACATATTCGATTGGTTTTCGACATTTTGTACATTATTTTTTATGCTCGTTTGGAACATGAATAAAAAAAATTGAGAAATTCGAAAAATTGATTTTTATGATATCACAGCTTCGGTACTTTATTCCTGTTTTCTCCGAAAATGTATTCATTTTTTTTTTTGGGGGGGGGGGTAATTTTCACTGTTTACCATGATATTGATATGGCCAGTTTATTGTCTGGGATAACGGGGCAGCCAAAACTAGTAAAATATTAATGCAAATAAGAACTTCTCGTGATTGGGGGGGGGGGGGTCATGAATTTCGGGTGAGCTTACCGGTAAAGGTATTGTTTGCGGTGGATTGAGCCCTAGAGTCCCCTAGAGGCCCATTCTAGAACAACCATTGCTGTTTGCGCCATACATCGGCGTTCACAAAGTTCAGCGCTTGGTTAATGATATCGAATAATATACAGTTCATTACTTTATGCGTTCGAATTGCGTGCTTTTATCATGTCTATTTCTGAGAAAGTTTTCATGGGCGGGTGCAGAATTTTTAAATGGGAGGGGGGGTGTTGAAACATAACGTATTGTGTCCCTAGCGTCTGACGACGTGGAGGCAATGGCCCCGGCGGGAGTCCAGGGGCAGAGCCCCCGGAATCTTCCGGGTTTTCAGCGTTCTAAACAAAAATCGCCCGAAAGTGGTTTGATGCAATTCAGAACAATGATAATTTGGCTGAAAATGTTTGTTTTTATACTCTCACTATGAACAAAACAAATATGGAGGAGCCCTAAAGATATTCATCACAACCCATTGCAATCGGAAATGCGTGACAAATCCAGTATTTTACTGACTAGAATATTAAAACATGCTATAATGATGTGTTAAACCCATAGATGATATTCGTTAATAATGAAGTATACACCACGGGTACCTACACGTTTCATCACAATCAGTGCCTATATGCCATTTTCTTGATTAAATCGTAAATATATGCCCACCGAAGGCTCGTTGTCTTGCTTGAATAATGCAGTGATCATTATCAATATTGCATGTTTTATTCATCTCATTATAGCGAAATACGTATAACCTATATAGGCCTAATTTCGTAATTCTATCTTTAAAGGAGAAAAGTAATGCTAAATGCTAAAATCACAATTTGAAAACACCTCGCTGATGGTGCATGTGAAAGAATTGGGCCCCGGTTGTCCAATCCACTATATTATTCCTTGTTGGACATCAAACGAATATTTTCAGCCAAAATATTCTGAAATTCATAATAACAACCTTGGGCTCCCCTAAAACATAAAATTTGAGCACTCTGGGGACCGATTTTCATAAATCATTCGGTGGCATCAATAGAATTGCATTTTACTGCGGAATCTGCATTTTCAAAAAATTGAACGCCATTTATAAGCTCTCGAGCTTTCGTGGGTTATCCTGTTCAAGCTGACTTATTTTTGATCTGTTATTATAGTCTATTGTTATATGTTGGAAGTTTGTCGAATAAAAAATCAATCAATCAATCACTTTCCCTGTCGATCGAGGCGCCTGTGAACATAATTATAATTATCTTAAACGCCAGTATTGCGATGTATATGACTGAACTCGGTTATCAATTCGCTAAATGGGGGGGGGGGGGGAGGGGGGGGGGGCTTTGCATTTATTGCGAAGTCTTTTCCAGGTCACGCAGCACTTTCATAAGGCTTTTTGCGAAAATTGTCATTAGCATGCACTTCATAAGAAGTGTACTGTAACCTCAATTCCGTATTCGCGTAACATTATTTTTCTTTTCTATTTTCGTTGCAAATAGGGGACAACCCGCCCGCGATCGCAACCCGCCCATCCCTCGAAAGAAATAATCTAGGAAATGTGTTAGCAAGTCATCCGGAAATGATACATTTCCTTATCAATTTCATGGAAATAATATTAGGCTGTAAGTACTGTTGTAATAGCCAAAATGAGGCACCATGGAGCCCTTTTTTCACCAGTGTTGGAGACATCCAGTATTAAATAATGTTATTCCGGCTTTATAATCACTTATACATGTATTACATGCAAATTAGGCAAAATATGTAAAATCTTTCGAAGGACACACTCCGAATTCCCCTTGTGTCGAGATTTTGCGGCATTAACATTGCACCAGCTGGAAAATCTCTATAGCTTCTTCATAATTAACGTAATTCTACGAAAAAACTATAAAACTTTGGGGTACAAGATTTCATGTTAAAAGCAATTAACGATAGTTACGTATCAGAATACTAATCTGATACAGATGAGATTAATATTAAATAATATTAACTGTTAGTGTTGATTAGCCGAACAAAACAAATATTGTAAATTGTAGTATGGTGTCATTATCAGTATAGAGAGTTACTTGAAACGGCGGGGGGACAGGAATCTTTTTTCTTTCTTTCTTATTTTAATAAAAGAAAAAACAGATGAGAATATAAATGATTTAATAATTATACGGGGCGGGCCACGTTTACTCTTGCGTCATTCTCCCTGGGTTTATTTCGTCAATGATATTGGATGTGGGCTAAGTTTTGAGATTCGTTTAGCAATTAAGGAAATGGTCATAATTAAGGCACGATCGTGTCACAAAGTTGATGGATGATCCGACATTTGCTCGGACAACATTAGCTCCAGGCAATATTTCGTGAAAGGTTTACCGCAGTCACACCGCCGAATTGATTCCAAGCCAATCCTTAACCATTCGAGGCAATATAATGCTTTGATCCGTCTACTGTCGGTCGCGTTGGTGTGACTTGGACGATTAGGATTGCAATCGGGTCTTAGGGTCAGAAGGAAAAACAAATTCCCGAGGATACTACTTTCAGGAAAATATAAAACTAGTCATCATCAATAGATCATCAATACAAAATATGAAAAATAAAGCCAAGCCAAGACAAAACGATAACAACAACAAACATTCCATGTCGTACTTTAGTTTTGCTTTGTTATTTTTCTTAGGTGTTAACAAAATAATATTCCAGGACATCTTTGATATTTTCCGTTTTCAATTTAACGTATACCTGTTCTATTAAATTCACCGATAACAATCCATCTATATATCTAATATTTTGAAATAGCATTTATTAGGATGACACTTCTAAATATCTAGCGTAATGAAATTTGTATGACATTATATGAACATTAACAACGCTTGTGGTCATCAAAATGTTTACGGATGTAATGCTACTAAACGTTAGAAAGACTGAGATGTATAGTATATTAAGTTCCAAATGATGTTCTAATTTTGAGTAATGTCGTTGAAGTGCACAAGTTTTAATTGACAATCGTAGATTGGTGTCATCTGTAAAGAAAATATGACAGGCATAACATATTGAAACCAAATGTTATTATTCTGGGTCTTGAAAAATGGCAGTAAAGTGTCTCAAAATCGTTGTAATGGCAGATTTAACGGCGGTATATCCTTGATCAAAGCCGCATCTTTGAAAAGATCGAAAACCGTCAAGAAAATTGAGGATTTCTTACATTACCCCAGCTTTTTAGTTAAGCTCGTGCCATGAACACCAAAACACTTGGCTGGGCGAGGGGGGATTAGCAAAAATTGAGATGACATGAAAAGAAGCTGAGCAAGTTTCAGTGTACAGCTCTTTAATCCCTCTTCCCGCTCGGCATACAAAGCCCTTTAAGAGGTAAAAAAAAAAAATCTTAGAAACATAATTAGCGAAAAATCAATACATGCAATGTGTATTATCTAGATGTACCATCATCTGTCCATTTCCTATGGAAACTATGGCCCCAAATTAATGTGCAAGTTTTTTCTAATTTTTTCTTATAGTTCATTAATACAAAAGTGGTTGATGGTCTTGGCAAAACTACATTAAACTGACCAAAAGACAGGTTGTTTATTTCCAACCTTCGTTGTTCAAACAATGACACGTTAGAAAGTCAATAATGAGAATTGAGAAGCCACCAAGCCCATCATACCTCGGACTTTCATTTGATCAAAGTTGTACCTGGCATACATAAAACATGCAACGCAATGATATTTCAATCATAGCATGAATATAAAGCAAAGCTCATTTTCTTGCAAATTCGTAATCTGGCATGGTTATATAAACATAGCGTTGGGAATGAACATGATTCTCGTGAGAAAAAAAAAGAACAAATAGCGTGCACGGATGGTAGTTTTGATCAATTCTTATCTCAAAGCTCCATTGTACAGTCTCACATTAACTGTACACATCTCTCCTTCGTTTGCACGCACCCGGGTCCAACTTGCGGTGTGTATCTTTAAAAATTCATTTAGTCTGATTCAATGTGATACTTGTTTAGAGAACATGTCAGGTTATGAGTGTTTCTCATAACATCAAGTATCTTTACAGAGAGGTAAGGAGGTAGATAAGATCCTGAACTTATTCCTTGATTTGAGCATTAAAACGCTATCATGCCTTATAAAGCATTATTCCGTCGTCTTTGTCCTGTAAGGACTTACTTGACGATATTCCACTCCACACTGTTCCACTCCACATGGAAAATGGACAGATAAAGTTCTTATTCCAGAGGACACAGCCTGTTTTCTTGTGCATAACGACGCTGATCTCCCAACGAGCGATAAACGCGACTCGGTCACATGAGGAAATATACATGTATATCTCTCAATAAATAGGTATAGTTACAAATGCAATCGAATTTGAGGTATATACAGTATAGGGTGGATGCTTAAGACATTATAATCGGTTTCCCACACGCAACTTGAGCAAAACAGAGTTCTTGGCCAGTTGGATGGCGAGTGTCTTATAATTATGAAAGATGAAGGCAATCGGTCCACGGTTCTTTTGCCACAAAGCCACCGTCTGTATGACACGTCTTCCTTGGTACATCTCATGATGTTGTCAGGACGTTGCTAATGTGTTGAAGGGTGCTTTCGTTCCTGTCCATGAAGACATAGACCAAGGTATCCAGCACTGACTTGACGTACGCTATCCACATGGCGGCGACGGCAACAGAACCAAGTCACCAGTCAGTGCCTTTACCGCAAAGGCGTCTCCAAGCCTTTCTTGGTACATCACAGAAAGATGTCAGGATGCTGCTAAGGTGTTGGATGGTGCATTCTTTCCTGTTCATGAAGACATAGACCAGGGGATCCATCAAGGAATTTGCGTATGCTATCCACATGGTGGCCACCGCTACAGAATGGCTGACGTCTGGAAAATTGGGGAAGTGGACGATGCAATATGGCGCCCAACAGAATATTGTGGTGAGGATCAACATGGCTCCTGTTTAAGGAAGAAACAGAAAAGGGGGAGTATTTGTAAAAGGCTGACTGCATTTACATTTTCAAGATCATTATTTCGACAAGACGTGATATTTTAAAACACATTTAAGTTGAATTGAATATACGACACGCCATTTTAGTTGCGTTATTACATTGCGGTAACCTGGTAAATAACATTGTGTGGTGTTTTTTTTAGGGGGGAATGAATTATTTAGAAATGAGGATTGTTATGCTACATGTATAATCACCAAGTAAAAGCCTGGTGTTAAGCTTTGACTGTCCTAGGTTACATAACATGATTCCTGAATACCTGAATAATGATTTTGTGCGGAAAATAAAAGAAAATAATGAAGTTTAAAAAATATTTTACCAGTGACAGCCACCCGTTTGTCTACTCTCAGTTTCCTTGCCGGTAGCTTATTCAGTGCATTGTTAAGATGGGCACGATGGTCCGAGTCGATGCATACCCTCGCATGCGGCCCATTCTTTACTGCTCTCGATCTGGAATGACCATTGCTATGACTGGCTCCATTGGTTCTTGAGTCGTCGCTGTCCTCTTTGGACGGCCCAGCGATCGGCAAGGACTGTGTTGCTGATAAGCTACATCTCCGCCCAGAAATCACAGAGGGTCCTGGTACCATTCTTCTGGCTTCATTCTCGTCTATTACGATCTCATGAAGATCGAGACCATCACCTTGAAATCCTCGGTTCAAACGTGCTTTAGAGACACCATCACCGCTGTGTTTCCCGAGGTTAGCGTGTTGGGCGTTGACATTCGCCTGTGGTAAGCGACAGCAATACAAATCACGAAATGCATTCGGCTCAAGGTTTTGTGACCTCTGCAGACTGCCACTGCCCTTAGACTCTGACAACTGCTTGGATATTTTCGCGCTTGTTTTGATACCGTCGTAAACGTGGAGTTGTCGATCGCTCTTTCGGATGTGATAAATAATACATGCATAGCTGATGATCATCACCGGTACTGCCACAACAAAAACAAGCGAGAACCATATTAGGAAATAGCTATAAACATCCCACCTAGGAGTGCAGTGGTGGGTGTGCCCGGTGTACACAAAAACTGAGTAGAACCCGAACGTTGGTGGCATCGTGATGGTGATACTGAACACCCAGACGAAAACGATCATGAAGTACACTCGACGTCGCGATGGCGGGAAACGTGTCGACCAGACGACGGAGATGTATCGATCAACGGCGATGCACATGACATTGCTGAAATTACCGGCGGCACAGGTGAGGGCGCATACTCCATTGATCTGTAGGAAAATAATGTGAGACATTCTGGACTTTGATAACTGCCCCTTTATATTGACATGTGCCCATTTTCCTTTCTAATAAATGCTCTTTGGTTCTTTTAAGTGCCCCTTCCCCTTCTTATAATTAAATCTTTTCATCTCTGATAAGTGGCCCGTTTATAACATGTGCCTCTTTTTCTTTTTAATGAGACCCACTTCCCCCTTTCTCATTAAAGCCCCCTTTCACCTCCGATAAATGCCCCTGTTAGTATCTGATCGGTGCCCATTTTCTTTCAACAAATTCATATTTTCCCGATTATTCGTGCCTCTTTTCCTTTCTAATACGGGACCTATATTTATCCCATTTTCATAAATGCCCCTTTTTACCTCTTATTAATGCCCCTATCAAAATATGTTGGGTGCCCCTTTTCTGTCGACAAAATAATGTCCATTTCCCATTCTCATAAGTGCCCCTTTTCATCCCTGGTGAGTGCTTCTTTTCAGGTGTAAGAAGTGCCCCATTTTCACTTCTGATGATAACCGTTTGTACTTTGAAACGTGCATCTTTCCTTTTCTAATAAGTGTCTTATCCCTTTCGATTAGTGTCACCATTTCCTCTCATCATTAAACGTGCCCCTAATTAAAAACGACTAAGAGTAATTTCCACCAAAACTCACTCGCATTTGTAGATGATATAACTACGTTACTTATTAAAGGTCTTTTCAGTCTTCCGTTATCATCATTCGGAAGGTTCGAAATTGCAGAAAAAGCCTTTTTCATGTATCATATACAGAAATAAGAACTTTCAGAAATACGGACCTTACGAAAATGAACCTTTGAAGAAATTGAAACTTCGTTAATACACGTGTTCCTCTTCTTTTCAAACGTACGGGAAAGGAAGATCAACCTACCGTGCAGACGATCGGGTTGGTCCTCAAGAGATATCCATCATCAAAGATGGCGGCAACGGAGAACGTCATGCTGAAAAGAGTGTTTCCTAGGTCGATCACGTTGAGATTGGCGATCAGGAGATTGTGATGATTCTTCCTGAGCTTCTTCGACGTCAGGATCTGCGTCATCGCCAAGATGTTTGCGAAGAACGAAGCGATCATGATGATGATGAGGGTAGCGGCTTCGGATATCCCTTCAGGACTATTCCTTTCGTGGAGAGGCTCGCGAGTAGCATTCGTCATGTTTGTTCCAAAGCTAGAACTATCCATGATTACAAAATCTGTTGATTTTGCACTAGTGTTCGTTAGTCGACTCATTTTCATCTAGTTATTAAAAATTAAATTTTATATTGGCACTAGCTCTTAACTGTGTTGACCTGTGATGAATATACTTCAGTGTCAACTTAAATGCGTAGACCTTGACAAGGACAACGAAAATGTGTGCCGCGTCGTACTAATCAGTTTTGCTTTATTATTATCTGCTGTTAATATGTAAGTCATGACCTTATTCTTATATGCTGTTCTTAATTGCTAATGGCTTTTAGTAAAAAAAAAATTTTTTAAAAAACACTCGGTCGAATGTGAGAGTGTTCACACTTTATTAATAAGTCTGTGTCGGACTAACCATAGGAATATAATGTACAGTGGTCACGGAATGACTTCCCGTCTTTCACTCAAGCAAAGTTCCGGATCTCGCACGCGAGAGAGAGGGAAAGAGAGCAGGGTAATGTAATTAACATTAATCATTACTGATTTTGATCTAAAGCTGCCCGCTATATTCCATTAAAAAAACCATCATGTAAGCGGAGAGCAAATAAACAATTAAGAGGTTGTCAGATTTCCCTTGTCATACTGTTTTTTAATGTCATACTGGTGTCCATTTCATAATTAAGAGCGATAGGTTCCTGTTCCCAGTTGAAACACACATTAATGAAGATTGCTTGTCAAAGGTTACTGTCGTTTAGACGAAATGTCAGATCGCTGTTTGATTCTGCAAAAAAGAAACGAATGTGTTTGAATTCATAGAATAAAATGTAAATCAAATATTTTAGTTTCTTGTGAACGGTTGAAATAAATACACTGTATGGAAATTATGTTTGTACATGTTAATTTAGAAAAAATGCCTTTGTTAAATATTTTGTTACATGTTTGTAAATTTAGCCTTTAAATAATTATTATATACGTTGCTAGTCAGTTGAACTATAAATAGATAAAATAATAACTAATTAACTGACTTACTAACGAACGAAGTAACGAGATAGATAGATAATATAGATCGAAATATATATTAATCAATATTAGATATAAAAATAGATAAAAAAATCAAATTAATGAATAAATATCCAAAAAATAAATAAATACATGCATACATTTATAAATAAATAACAAAAAAAGGAAGGACTGGATTTGCTTCAATTGATAATGACCATATTGGTTAGAAAATTGCAACGCTTTCCTTGCTTGTACCATAATGCTTTTAAAATAAGTAATATGTGAAATACTTTGTGATTCGGTTGGCAGTGCCCCAGGAAAGTGATCCAGTCACATTCATTTTGATTTGATCGGAAAGACAAGTTCAGATTAAATTCTATGATGATTTATTCACTTTGAATAGTGAGCTCGGTTTTAAAACATCATTAAATATTCCTACGCTAAAGATTGCTCGGCAAATATTTCAAACGTGAAAAATAAAATATCGAGTTCATTTTCGCATGAATGAAATTCATCGAGGAAATCTAAGCACGATGAACTTCTATATCCCGTCTTTGTATGTCAACATTTAATTTAAATCATTGCCAAGAAACGGTCTCTTTGAAAATATTGTTGGGTAGAGTTTATGGAAAGAAGAGTCTGGCTTGAATTCAATATTGATTTATTCACTTTGAAAGTGAGCTATATGGTTCATAAGTCCATCACAATATTCCTATACGCTAAGGATTGCTCGGCAAACATTTTAAAACGTAGCAAATAAAATATCGAGTTCTTTTTCGAATGAATGGTATTCATCTAGGAAATCTATGCCCGATGAACATTTGCATCCCGTGTAATTGGTATGTGACAATTTAATTAAAATCATTGCCATCGAAGGGTGAGTTTGAAAAAAAATGTTTGGAAAAGTGTTTGAATGATTTGGCCTGATTTTTTTTTCCGTTGGACTAGAAACTTTTCTCTATATAATCACGAATACATTACGTTAATGTGTTTAATTAAATGATACAACGCAAAAGCAGTCTATACAACATTATCATCGGTGGTAGCCCCTCCTCCCCACACACACACACCCCTCTTCCCATCGCATAAAGATTATAGTGTCGTGATTGATCATGGTTCGGTTTTTTAATGTGATTTTGTCAAACAAACATACAAACATACATATTGATATTTATATAGCGCCTTTACATAAACATGCTCAAACGTGTTTGTGTGACATGAGAATCCGGTATACGTGTTGAGTGCCAGCAAAATAATATAGGGGAGGGGTAATTTCACCATATCTTGCTTTATGAACATTTGATAAATCTTTTGGAATCAGTTTAAAACCTATTATGCATCAATTAGACACAAAATAAATAAAATAAACCAGAAGACATACAAACGAAAATAAACCAAAATGACCGAACTATTTCGTCGCAAAACGGGAAATTTCACATATCCCCCCAAATTAAAAAAAAAATCAAAATATCATCAATATACTCAATATTTTATAATCATCTCAAAACTGAGGCATCAAAGTACATACAAATAAGAAAAGAAACAAAAAACAAAGAACGCACAAAAATAAACCAAGGGACAAATCATTATATCGTCCCAAAATAGAAAATTCCAAATATATGCACCCTCCAAAAATACAAATATCATAACTCAATATTTAAAAATTACTCTACTTGTATCAAAATACAAACAAAAGAAACACATAAAAATGATACATAAAAAGAAAAAGAGACAATCAAATACAATCTCAGGATAAAAAAAAATCGAATCATCATAACTCACCATTTCGCAGTCGTCACCGCAATCTCTTCAACGCTACGCAGAAATCTCATCTCCTCACTCCCGATTGACAACGACTCATTTTATTACTGCCTCAACATCTGCGTCACATGGGTTCAATAGTTACTGAACATCCTTCACAAAGGAATATTATTACCTCCTACAAACTGACCAGACGTCCAGACCTTCGTTGTGTCTGACCCAACTGAAGGGGCAGATGATGTTTATTAACCAGCAAATCTTCCACAGATAATTAGAGCGGTATAAAGCAAACATTAGACGTTGAGCAAGATTTGCACACGGTTATGTCACAAGGGAGAGTGGGAGGGAATCCCTGGTGTCACTATCAACATGGACCTATCAATTAGCAAAGGGAGTGTTTACATTTGAATTTTAACATGAGATGCACCGTTCACATCATACGATTGTATTTTCCAGTTTGCGTATCCAAAACACAAGAAAGGAAAGTTATTATTGTAAATGGCAAAACACCAGCGGATTAGCCAGTGGTCTTGGTAGGGGAGGGGGGGGGGGTGGGGAGCAGAAGCCATACCTGGCAGAAGCGGTTACCTTTCTTGGAAGGGAAACAACAAAACTGTGATTGAGCGTAAGGACAAAGTACAGAAGTTAGGAAATTTGACATTATAATGCATCACAAAATAATGTTAATGAACATATCGTCATATCCCATTTTGATTATTTTGCAAAATGTTCCAAGTAACGCATGTGGGCGCCCGATTTTTATCATTTTTTTAGGGGTTAGCTTCCTAATCTGCTGTGTTTAAAAAAAAGTGCAAATGAAACAATTATTCTCTTGCCATGCCAATATTTATAATGATGACCAACTCCACTATTAACATTGCCGCTTGGAAATCAAAGTGACGATTTCATTTGTGTTACTCAACAACTGGAGGGGAGGCGAAGGTCTCCGTGCAGAGGAGAAAGACATAATGGCAATAGGTAACTGACTCATTTTTATGTTTTGAAAGGGGGGGGGGGGGTGGGTAGACATTTTCATTTCAGGGCACGTCTTTTTAAAAGATGTATTATCCTTATGAACTGAATCCCAAATTTAAGGACCCTGGTACCTGACAAATTGTAATGGGTTGATGGAATAATAATTTCATAGTATAATTGGCAACTAACAGTTAAAACGGACCCATTTTTTTTAATTTGTAGACATGAAAGAAGTATTCCGAAAAACATCTATATCATAGAGTCCTTGAAAATGTTAATAATAAAATAACATAAGAAGTTAATAATAAAATAACATAAAAAGTAGAGATAGAAGTAGGGCAAAATGTGGCGCTTTTTTCCCGAATAATACTCTTTCTTTGAAGGGGAAAATATTATTGTCAACCACATTAGTCTCTATTCTCCACACTTCACTTTCTTCCGGAGTATTACAAAAAAACTGTCATTATAAACCCATGCACCCTAGTTCTTTTTTTACAGCGATCATGATATTTTTATTGCTCTCATTTCTCTCTCTTTCCCTTCTCTTTCTCTCTCTCTCTCTCTCTCTCTCTCTCTCTCTCTCTATATATATATATATTTCTCGCTCTCTCTCTCTCGCTCTCTCTCTCCCTTTCCCACTCTCTCTTCGCATCAATGTTGCTTTTCTGCCATTCACATCCCATTTATTCAATATCAAATTCTAACTTACAACGTTTAATTTTTTTTAATGCATTATTTTCTACAAACCTCGTTTGTAGTATAATTAGATACGATGAGACAGGGGTGGATGAGAGGACAATGCAAAGGAAGAAGGGGAATCCATGATGTACATTTCACAAGTCACGTGCATACGCTGATGTACATTCTCTATTTTCTTGAGAGATCATTTGCAAGCTGTAAAAAGGGATTAAAGGGCTATCTAACCTTTGCGATAAGTTCAATATTTTGTAAAAGTTTGAAAGCAGGAAAATAAGAGAGACAGAATTCTTAACCTTTGAAATAATCAGACAAATAATATAGTTATGGATGTCTGAAATATGAGATTACTGAAATAACATATGCGAATCTCAGAGTGGTAATGCGGTTAGCGGATTTTGATGTATTCCACGGTCAACTCTCTTGTTTGTCGTAGATACATATAGAACATCATTAACTTTCTCTAATTCTTAAGTTTCTCTCCTATTAAGCTTCTCCGTTTGGGCACTACTCAAAAAGTATCG